CCGCTTCCTCGGCACGATGGGCTTGCCCTGGTAGTGTTTCCTCATGTGCCCCCCTAGCCGGACGCCGCTGGTGTAAACTTCGCCGCAGACCTTGCAGGTGTGGAGCCTCTCCGACCTGGAGCCGCCCGCGGCGTGGCCAATCGGGTCGAGCCCCGCGTCTATGGCTGCAGCGGCCTCCGCCGCGATGCGACGGTTCTTGTGGCCGGCGGCGTGGCCGCCCAGCCCCTGGTGCGTCGGGAACCACCGGTTGCACTCCTTGCACGAGAACCCACGCGGGGCGGACGTGTCCCGGTGCGCGATGATGTGCAGTGGCCCGTGGAAGGCATGCCGCGGTGCCGCGGCCGCTAGTGGGGGGACGAAGGCATGCTGCTGTGCGGGGGCGGGCGGGTGGAGGTAGGCGGCGGCTGGCTCTGGTGCTGGTGCGAACGGCGGTGCAACGGGGTCTTGCTGCGATGCAGGAGGCGACGCGGCGATGTGGACTTGCTCCGATACGGCGGCAGGCGGTGCTGCCCCTGCCACCACGATGGCCATGGACTGATCAGCAGTACTCTGACTTGGCTTCTGGACGCTGGCGCTGTTGCTGCTTCTGCCGCCGCTGGGGACGACCTGCTCGCTGCTCGCCAGCTCCTCGACGGCAGTGGACGTAGACAGGGACACGTAGCCGGCCACCTTGTCCACGGCGCTCACCGTAGCAGACACCTTCTCCACCTCCTTGGGCTGCGCCAGCGCGTGGACCCTCATGTGCCCATGCACGGCCTTGGAGCTGCGGAACTGCCTGTGGCAGACGGGACAGGCCGGGAATAACGCAGTGACGGCAGAAGCGTCGACTCCGGCGTCGGCGTGATCGCTGATGGTCCCGTCAGAGCCGAGCGAGGTAGTGGGCGACGACGCCCGGGTAGTTGATCTTGATCTTGACATTGACCCGGCGCTGGCACGGCCAATGACCACGTCCTCCAGGACAGGGTCGTGGCCTGGCCGCGCGACCGTGACCATCATCCCCTGGCGGTCTCGGTGGTCGTGGAGGGGCACCGGGTGGAGGTAGTAGCGCGCGTCCTCGTCGTCGGTGTCGGTGTCGGTGTCGGAGCCCGTGTAGTACCCGGAGACGACCTCGCCCTCCTCGAGCTCGCCCCCGCTGCGGCGCAGGCGCCGCGACTGGACTAGGCGATCATCATCTGAACCGGCCATGGAAGAAAACCAAGAAACCAGATCGGTTGATGATCAGCAGAGAGGGGCAGAGAGAGCGCGCTAAAAGAGAAGCTGTTTGGCGTCGCCACGCCCACGCTACGCTCAAGAGTTAGGGCTTGGGGCTTTGGCTACGCTGCGCTCTGCTTGTGGGTGGAGGGAGATAGAGGAGGAGTGGGCTGCCTTATATGGATCGAGCTGCGGCGGCAAGGCGCAGTGCAACGCCGAGACGGGGTAGAGATCGAGTAGGAGTCGGTAGGGTTTAAGCCAGCGGGGGTTCCGTGGCGCGCGCGGCTGCGGGTGGTGAGTCGCGGCGGGAGTCCGCCTCGGAGGACGATGGATGGCGGGTGAAGGAAGGAAAGGGATCGATCGAGTTTGTTACGCCTACGGAAAAAGGGATTCTCCTGCGGTTAATTTGGCAAGAGAGAGACCACCGTACGGGATCACTTTCTCTTAATTTCACAGCGTGCCACGGAGAGAGAGGGAGATGAATCCTAGTCATAGAGGGAAACAAATCTTCACCGGATCTGGTTGATATTTCTTCGCCAACAAGATATTTAAGTGGAGTCAAAGGAAGGAAAGTAAATTAAACCGGTGAAGAGAGTAGAGATAGAGAGCTGAGCGTTTAATTTGCGGAGGCGCGCAGCCCCAGATAGGCCGCCGCATCCACCGTTGGATGTCACTTGAGCATTACAATCATTTTTTTTCCATGGCATGTCCAAGGACAATACCATAAACATCGATGCATTCCTAACAAATCGGTGTAGCATGAGAAAGAAAAATGTAACAAAGTCCCCGAGAACATTCATGCTTGGCAACATATGCTTTTTTTATCACAGTACAAACGCAGACGCTTATACACTCATTTCTATTAACGCATATACACCCTATCCCTATGAGCACCTTTGAGAGACTGAGCCGACACATCATGTTCATATCGACGAAGTCACCACAGACGCATTCATAGTCGACATGAGCGTTTCCTTTCACTGAATGCACATCACTGAAAGGCCTGCAATAAATCCAAATACCCCTTTAGGAGAACTCATCGAGCGTTTAATTAGGTGGGCTAGGCCCAGGCGCCAAGCTCCAGTGCGCTGCACCGTTTAGTACCACATCGCTACGCGAGGTGGATGTAGGGCAATAAAAGGAACGGTGCTTTTTTTTTGAGACAGAAAATAAAACGAACGGTGCTAAATGGTTCAACTCATATCTACGGTTATTTTCCGAATTCAAAAAAAAAATCTACGGTTTTTTTCCACACAGCGAAGCTATTTTCGGTTATTTCGATTAGCCCGAAGATTAAATGGTTTGAAACAGAAACTATAAGTTGAAAAGCACACACTTAGCTCTCCATGGCGCTGCCGCGCTCGCGACCTGGGCCTGGCCCAATAGGCCCGCGTGTCCCTGATTTGTGCCATTCCAAAAAATACAACCTTTGACTTCTGTAAAAACCAATGATTCTGGGAAATTGTAAACAAGCTAAAAAAACTTGGAAACTACAAAAATATAGATTTTAGAAAGTTTCACAAATTTTATAAAAGTTCATCAATTTAAAAAAAGCACAAAATTGGGAAAATTTTCATCGGTTTTTAAAAAGGTCATCAATATTTAATAAAGTTCACAAATTTTAAAAAGTTCACAATGTTGAAAAAGTGTTCATAGATTTTAAAAAGACATTAATTTTGAAAAACAATGTTCATCAAATTTGACAAAAGAATCACCAATTTGAGAAAAAATTTGAAAATTGGAAAAAAGTTCACATGTTTTGAAAAAAAATGTGTGAATTCAAAAAAAGTGCATAACTATTAAGAAAAGTTCACAAATTTGAAGAAAAGTTCACGGTTGTGATTTTAAGATAAGTTCACAACTTCAAAGAAAATTTCACAAATGTTTGTACGTTGCTTGGTGGTCTCGAGTTCGAATCACGTTGGGCGTGAATGTTTTGAATTTTAATAGAAGAGTTATAAGGGCGTAAATGGGTTGTCACCATGGCTGAGGTGGTAATGCCGCGTATCCGCACACTCGGCGAGCATAGGACGTACTTTCAGAAAAGACCATCCTACACTTTATTATGA